CTGCGGACCCCGGGCGGCTAGCGGAGAGCCCGGGGCGGGGCCGCAGTCGGGGGCGGGGCCGCAGTCGGGGGCGGGGCCGAGGGCGTTGGAACCCGGGAAGAGCAGCAAGGCGGAGGTCGCTGTCTAGCTCTCTCTCCTGCGCCTCAAGTGCTCTCTAAGCTGTTGGAGGTGGTGGTGTGCACCCCTCCAAAGCCGTGTCGTGTCTTTGAGTGTTACTCTCAGAGTGGCAGAGACACACAACCATGTTGACAGGGGAATGTCCTCTGATATTCTTCGGGTTAGGCTCAGTGCCAGGCACAAAGATGACAAGGTGGGGGCCGCCCCACAAAAACATGGCTGCCGCACCAATTAAACTTGAGGCCCCGCAAAAGTCTGGCTGGCACGGCGCCCATTGCCCGGCGGGCCGTTAGCGGCCGGGGAGGCCAGTGGCCGTTGGTGCGCATGCTCCCCAGCGCCCCGCACCAACATGGCCGCCGCTCCCGGTGAGCGCAGCCGCCGCTGCGAGCCGGCCGTTGGTGCGCATGCTCCCTGAGTGCCCCGCACCAACATGGCGGCGTCTTCTTTGGGGTGACTTTAATTCTCTGTTTTCGCTTAGAGTCGGCCGGCGCTCATTTCTCTTCAGAAAGCTTGGAGCCCGTGGTGGAGCCGGGGAAGGGAAGGGTGGGTGCGGCCGTGAAAGGTGAGAGGGACAGAAAGCATCCGGGCCGGCTCCCGGCGGGAGGAAGATGGCTGAGAGCGAGCGGCAGCCGCCGCCAGGTAGGGCCGGTGGGGCCGGGTCGAGGTTGGGGGCGCGGGGCGGTGCCGGGCGTGGGGGCGGGATAGGGGTGTGGTGTGGGGGCTCTGTAGGGGAGAGGGTCAGGAGATGGAGGAACTCGAGGGGCGAAAGCTTATGGACCCCGAGGAGGAGCAAGAGCTGAAGGGCCTCAAGGGAGAAGGGGTGGTGGGCCGCCCGGGGAGACGGCAGGAACCCGCGGCCGCAGAGGGGTGTGGTTGGGGCTCGACACCAGGATTTGGGGATCCCGGGCTGCCTGAGGATCGGGTGGGCAGCGCCGTGGCCAGGTGAGAGGCCTTTTCCACATCTGGGCAGCGCGTGCTTAAGTCAGCTCTCGATCTGGAGGGGGGATGTTGCCAGGGATGGGGGCGAAAGGGATTCAGGTGGCTGCCCACTTGATTAGACCTGCTCAGGGGTTGGGGTGGTGCTCGGTGGGCCCGCCTTGCCCCCATTTCCAGCCTCCTCCACGCCCTGCCCACTCCTCCACCTACTCTCTCGTCCTCTTGGAGGCTGGGTTCTGGGGTTTCAGTAGTTGAGGGTTTATTGAGAGAAACTGTCTAAACCACTCATTTAAAAAGTCTGGTTGTGCAAGGAGATGAGAGAGTTTCTCTCTGCCATCACCGTCTGTAACTTTTATTTACACTGTGGCCTCCTTTTAGTTCATCTTAAATAACTAGGATGGAGGTGTTGGGGAAAGATCTTATAGAGACCGCTTTCCCGGAGAAAGGCAAGGCTGTTTGCTGACCCCCCTTGAGCTAAGAAGGACTGGCCATAGGTAACTTAAAATTCTGACAGAGGAGCAAATAGGTTGGCCAAACACAGCTAATGTTTTAAAAGCCTTTGTTAGGGCCAGCCTGTGGCTCACTCAGGAGAGCGTGGTGCTGACAACACCAAGTCAAGGGTTAAGATCCCCTTACCGGTCATCTTTTTTATTAAAAAAAAAAAAAAGGAGAGGTTGGCCAAACACAGCTAATGTTTTAAAAGCCTTTGTTAGGGCCAGCCTGTGGCTCACTCAGGAGAGCGTGGTGCTGACAACACCAAGTCAAGGGTTAAGATCCCCTTACCGGTCATCTTTTTTATTAAAAAAAGAAAAGAGAAAAAGAAAAAAGCTACTGTACTTTTTTTTTTTTTTGCCAGTGTGGGGAGGCTACTATACTTTCTACACAGCGTTGTAGTGTGTGTTCAGTAAGATGTGCGCAAAGCATGGGACATGGTGGGTAGGGAATAAATGTTGATTGCTGTTGTCCTTCTCAGTGTTTCAGAGTTGTACAGGTTGAACATATATACCGGTTCCCAAATGGTAGATGATAATACATTATATTCTTTGGGTTTTTTTTTTTTTTTTTTAGCAACATCTCTAAAACTCTGGATGTTACCATCTTATACTGGGAAGTCATAGGGGATCCACTGTCCCTTGGAACCTTTGTCAGAGACAGAATTTGAGGCTGGAGAGACTGAGTGTGACCTCATTTATCACAGTCCTATCTATGAAGCCTTATTTCTTTGATTTAGGATTGTGTATTCTGGTGATTTGTGTGTGTTTCATCAGTGATTTGTTGCAGTACTTCCCATAAGGTAGCCTTTCCCTGGGGAACAGGGCCTGGCCTGGAGGCTTCTTCCTCCTTGTGAAATAATGTCAGGAGGGCTGTCCCCTTGCAGGGAACAGTTCTCTCACGCTTACAAAAGGGCTGTGTTCCCAAAGATTATTTGCAAGTTGATTATTTGGAATGTGGAACACATTTTCCCATAAAAACAATGTGGTTGGGTTACCAGACTGGCCAACAAAGCATTTTATTTAGCATCTTACTTAAAGTAGCAATTTACATTTAATAGTAGGGGCCTCAATTTTGAACTCTGGGAACTGTGTTTGCAGGACAGGTGGGAGGAGGAAGATAGCCTTCTGGTTTCTTTCTGGGGCACTGGTCAGATTCTCTATCCTTCTCCATAGATCTCCCAAGTTTCCTGGCACTTTTTCTTTCATTAGGACCTCTCCAGGCAGGCTCTATTCCCAAAATGTCACATGTTCCACAACTTTTTCTTGTCTCTTTTTCTTCTTGTAGCTGATGTCAGCTAGGTTTTAGGAGGAAGCTAGTGTGACAAATTTATACTATATTGTGAATGACTGATAGTCCCTTACTCTATGCAGTAAGCACCTTTGTGTATCTTTGTCTGTTTCTGTGAGCAGATCTGAAGGGTAAACTCCTATAAGTAGAACTGTTGGCTCAGTGGGTATGTGCAGTTTTTCTTCAAAAGATAGTGCCAAGTCCTCCTGAACAGGTCCTATCAACTTTCATTCCTATCCACAGTGCAGGAAAGTTCCTGTTTTGCCTTCCCTGGTCAATGCTGTATGTTTTTATCTGCCAACCTTATCTGGGAAAAGAGATCACATATAATTTACATGTCCTTGCTTATTCAGGAGGTTGGTGATTTCTTTCAAATATTTTATGCAACTTGTATTTTTTCTTCTTCTTTGAATTTCCTATGTATGTCTAAAAGGTCAACTTAGTTTTATTTTTCTAACCATCTTGCCCAGGTGGAGAGTGGGAAGTGAGAGCATGGTTATTGAAGGAATTACCAATATTGCCCTGCTCTTTACTACTTGCAGAGTGAGAAAAGGCAGGAGGCCAGTGGGTGTAGCTTAACAAGCCATTATTCTGTCCTGGGATTATGTGTCTGGTTTATGCTAGGGCTCAGGTGTTGGCATCTTGGTTTAAAAGTGAGATAGAGGGCCGGCCCGGTGGCGCACTGCTGTGGTGCGCCGCTTGGGAGGTGCGGCGGCGCTCCCGCCGAGGGTTCGGATCCCACATACAGACCAGTTCCCGCTCACTGGCTGAGCGAGGCGTGGGAGCGACGCCGGGGGTTGCGATCCCGTTGCTGGTCCCGGTCCGGTGCGGGGGCGACACTGAGGGTTGCGATCCGTTGCCGGACACGGAAAAAGACAAAAAAAAAAAAACAAGTGAGATAGAGAGTGAGTGTGTTGGTGGGGAGGATTGTATTTACCTATTTGCTTTCTCATTTTCTTTGTCAAGATTCTTCAGAGGAGGCCCCTCCAGCCACTCAGAACTTCATCATTCCAAAAAAGGAGATCCACACAGTTCCTGACATGGGCAAATGGAAGCGTTCTCAGGTACCAGTGATGTCTGCACTTTAGGGTCGGAACTGGGGTGAGAAACTTGGGCTTTTTCAGGCAGTGGTTTTCTAGACATGACTGGGGCTGTGAGCTCCTGGCCCTTCTTCATCTTGCAGCCTCAGCTGTCAAGCTAGGGAGAGAGGTGACAAGTGAGCTGGCTGCTGTCCCCCTCAGGGGTAGCACTCAGAGATGCTTTATCAGGAAGGTCTTGGAGCTGGGGTTGGGCTAACCTTGGAGAGTTCTGCTCTTGGTTCTTATAATAGCAACTGTGGAAGCCAGTGCCTCAAAGGGAGAAGAGGTTATCTCATGGAAACCTAGGCTAGGCGTGTGGCTGAGCCTCAAATACCTGGGAGCTGGGACCTGAGCACAGGAGGACAGACTGGCATTCTCTGCTGCTGAGCCCAAATGGTGGGCAGAAGATAATAGCTTGCACCTCTCTGGTACCAACAGGCTGCAGAAAGACTGGGACTGAGAAAAAAGAAAGCTAATTTCAAATTCTCAGGCAAGGCCTCAGGCCCAGCTCCAGTCAGGCCTCTGGTCAGGTCAGCTGGAGTGAAGAGTGTTACTTGTACAGAAGGGCAGGCTCAGAGGTCCACCCACTTGGCAGATTCTCCATGAGGAGTCTGCTTTGTTTATGTTGAGTCCAGACCCTCCAGCTTCTGTTCCTTGTCCTTGAAGTTTGGGGCCATACAGGCCTATCTGGTTCCTCCTTCAAATATTTAGCCTGCCCTCTAAATATTTGGAGATAGTTATCATGTCTCTTCTGAGTCTTCACCGGGACAAACAGTCCCTTCAGCCTAGCAGGCAGGTTAGTCCCTTCAGCTACTCAAAGGATATGGTTTGGGGGCTGGCCTGTGGCTCACTTGGGAGAGTGTGGTGCTGATAACACCAAGGCCCCGGGTTCGGATCCCACATAGGGATGGCTGGTTCGCTCACTGGGTGAGCATGGTGCTGATAACACCAAGTCAAGGGTTAAGATCCCCTTACCGGTCATCTTTAAAAAAAAAAAAAAAAAGGATATGGTTTGAGTCCTTTCATCATCTTCGTTGCTCTACCTCAGAGTTTCTCAACCTCAGCACTATTTTGCAGCAGGCATTCTTGGTTGTAGGGAGCTGTACTGTGCGTTGCAGGATGTTTAGTAACATCCCCGGCCTCTACCCACTAGATGCCAGCAGCATTCCGTCCCCCACTTGTCACAAACAAAAATGTCTCCAGACATTGTTAGATGTCCTCAGAAAGCCAAATTGCCTGGGCTGAGAACTACTCTGTTACCCTGAACCTACTTGTTTGTGTGAATCCAAACGTGATGCTGTCCCTTGCTGCTTCCTCTCCCGGCTTCCCAGTGTGCTTTGCAGATGCGAATGATTGTGAATGCTGGCTACAGTCAGGAGAGGGGCTCAGATGTGCCCTGGGCTGGGAGAGTTGCTGTGGATAACCCACCTGGCCTGCTGGGGGCCATTCCATGGGCTGGTAGGAGGATCCTGGTATAGGAATTCCCCCTTCTAGATATTAAGTTGTTGGTTCTCAGGGCTCATCTCAGGGCTTGCTGTGGATACCCTGGCATCCCTGGCTTGGATAAGAAGGAAGGAAGGAAATGAAAAGAAAAGGGGATGAAGAAGAAACAAGACTGCACTGGGAGCCAAGGGCAGCCCGGAGCTCTTTGGTATCCAGGTGGAGCTGGGGGCAGGTCAGGGGGGTCTGACATCCCTCTCCTCACCCCTCTCTCCTGTCTGTTTGGTAGGCATATGCCGACTACATCGGATTCATCCTCACTCTCAACGAAGGCGTGAAGGGGAAGAAGCTGACCTTCGAGTACAAAGTCTCTGAGGTAGACACCAATAGGGAGACTGCTGCAGCAGTCTTTCCACACACAACCTCTCCAAAAAGTCACATGTGCTTATTGCCCACAGCAGGGCCAACTGCAGAAAATAAGATCACCCAAACACACGCGCAGTTCACATTTTGGTGTCTATGTTTCTAATTGTTTTAATCTGTGAATAGATGGATATTTATAAAGTTGGGATCAAGGTAAATATGCTGTTTTATAGCCTGCATTTTACTAACTGGTGTTTTAATATAACTTTAGAAATTGAAAAAGATTACAAGAGAAGTAAACATGCTCACTGGAGAGATAACGAGTAGAAATATGTATAACATTAATAAAAAAAAAAGAAGCTGACCTCTCCCTGCGTTTCCCCTCATACCCAGTTCCCGGGGCAGCCCTGTTGACAGTGACATCCCAGGAAATCGTGAGCTCCTCCTCTCCTACAGTGTGAATGGCTGCTTCACTGCGCTGTGCCCTCAGAAGCTGACCTCTCCCTGCGTTTCCCCTCATACCCAGTTCCCGGGGCAGCCCTGTTGACAGTGACATCCCGGGAAATCGTGAGCTCCTCCTCTCCTACAGTGTGAATGGCTGCTTCACTGCGCTGTGCCCTCATTTCTGTAAACAACCCTCTGACTTTAGACTTTTAGCTTATATCCCTAAGCATTGCTGCTTTGAACATCCTTGTACATAGACCTTTGTTTTCTAAGGATTCATTCCTAGAAGTAGAAATCCTGAGTCAAAGGGCGTTCTTGTTTTTTGGCCTTTGGGTTCACACTGCCTGGTGGGTGCTCTTTGGATGCTGTTTCAGAGTCAAGCTTGTTTGTGTAGGGAGGGCAAAAACTATTAGGGGGCTGATACCCATTGGAAGGTGTGGTCTTGGAGGCTGTTTGCTGTTGCTGGATGCCATCTCCCAGGACTAGGTCCCAGGCCTCTAAAGGGCTCTTGGGTTTGTGTCCCAGTTGGCCCAGAGCCACCTTGAACCTCTTATCTCAGATACCATGGCCTGAGTTGCCTCTCTTAATGCCTTGGCCGACTCAGCCCTCTAGCCACAGCCTCAGGGCTGTTGGGTAAGATCTGGTCCTGCCCCTGCCTAGTTTCTCCACTTGTCCTAAGACTAGCATTGCCCTCTAAGCCCTCATATCCCACCCCTGGTGGAGCCTCCTCTTCCTGGGCCCTATCTTGCTGTTAGGTGGCCGAGGTCCTGTTCTGTTCACTTGAGGGGAGCCAGGCCTGTGCTGGGGACAGCCAGCCTTCCCTTGGGAGATGGCCCACCAGTGGCTTCTTGGGTTCCTCTTGGGCCCACTCAGTGCTCTGGGACCGTGGCTTTGGGCACAGGATGGCTGGAGAGAGAGGGCTCTTCCTGAGCCTGTGGCGAGGGATGCTCAGCTGTGTTCAGTGGGCCAGAGGATGTCATAGGTTAGGGCTAATTAATGGGGAATGATATAATTACCCCAGCAAATGCTTAGTTGCCAAATCCCTTTCAGGTTCCTTAATTGCCTCTGAGGCTTTGATGGTAGCTGTCCACACCAACCAGGTATTGTCTTAGCTCAATAGCTGTTCTTTTAGCAGGATTGCAGCTTGGTTGTGTGCTTGGGTTCTGGAGTCAGGTTGACTGGGTTTTGATAACCCATCACTTCCGAACTGGGTGATGTTGTCATTTCTAACCCTCTGTTTCATCATTTATAAAGTGGGAAGAGTCAACAGATCTGCTCATGGCCCCATGGGGAGGAATCACTGAGATCCCACATGTAGGTTTTTTATTTTTACACAGTGCCTGGCACATACTAAATGCCTTTATTATTATTTAGCTATTGTCATCATTAGGTGTTATTCAGTTCTAATTTTTAATAATGTTGTGTCGCTTCAGTTGGGGCTATTCCTGAGCTGGGGTTATCCCAGCGCCCAAGTGGTGGGCTGCTCCTCACTTGGGGGGCAGAGATGACTAGTTTGGTCTCCAGAGGGCTCCCAACTTCTGTCCACTGCTGGCAAGGGGCAGCAGAAGGCACAGGTCATAGCATGTGGACGCGGGCCACACATAGGGGCTCTCTTTCCTCCTGGCACAGCTGCTTGGTCTCCTGCTTCATCTCACTCCTTCCTCCTACTGTAGAGATGGCAGCTGCAGTTTGGGAGAGGACAGAGTGGCTCAGGCTAGCGGCTTCCACACCACTTGAAGTAAAGAGAACAAGCAAGGGTGATATGCAGTGAGTTTGTCTAGACCTATGTTTAGAAAGCTGTGTTTATTTTGAGATTATGCCTGTCTTACTCTTTGGGGGTTAAAATTTTTGTATAATAAAGGTGTTAGTAGATAGGAGGTTTATTTTTGTTGTTGTTCTGTAGGTTTTTTTTTTTAACATACTAAGGGGGCGGAATTAAAAGTTGTCTAGTAAAATTTTAGGGAAGGTTTTACTAGTCCATGAAATCTAAAAAGGAAGCACTGGTCTAGGGAGAAGGAGGATAGCTCAAATTATCCCTTGTGCCTCAGAAGGGTTCCAGCGCACAGTTCCCTCCTCCTCTGACCCCTCTCTCCCAACCCGCCAAACAATAGAGGCAGCCCCCTGCATTCAGAGAGCCCTCTGGAGAAAGAGGAGCTGGGAACCTTTTAATTATTCATTGGCCCAGCTGAGCTAGCAGCTGGGGCCTGGCTCCTGCTGGCCTCTGGAGCTGCCTTCTTTATCCCCTTCAGTGCCTTGCCTATGACTGAGATCTCCAGAGAATCTGAGGCTTGCTGATGCTTCCTGGGGCTAAGATTACGGTGCCATCCTTGTTGCTGCATGGGGTCAGGTTTGGTCTGTTCATCAGCCATTCCTGGTGACCTTGCTCTTCAGAAAGCCAGGCTCTGGCAGCGCTTCCTGTCACATTTCAACAAGGCAGCTTTATGCCACCCCAGCACTCTCCTTCAGCCAGATGTAAAGGGGAATTTTTGTCCTCCTACAGGTAACTTTTATTTTTCTCCCATGCCCCAAGCATAGGTAAAGGGCATGTGCGGGAGAGCAGCATTCAGGGTCATTGTCCTGTTGCACAAGACACAAGGCCGGGGGTGGGGAGGAATGTTTTCATAGACTGCAATGTAATTTGTGCCTCTTGGAGCTATGCAGCTGGGGGCACTGGCTGACTTGACTTCCATTCACACAAGCCCACGTCTCCCCCTCCCCTCCAATACACACACACAGGTTTTGGGATATCTGCTTCTTGGCAGAGTCTCTACACAGTGGCAGGCCTGACCAGGCCTTGTGCTCCCAGGCACAACTTTTCGTGTGCACATCACACGTTTATTCCAGACACAGACAAGATCTACTACCTGGCATGGACCCTCTTCCCGGTGTTGCCTGACCCTGAATAGCCTCTGCATCGTGCTTTCTATGAGGCCTTAGTTCTGGTTTATTTCTATAAGCCACACCCGGAAGGAGCACTTTCTAGGTACCCTCTCAGAGAACCCTTGACCTTGGTGTTACAAGGTCTTTGTTTTAGATGGACATCCTGACATCCAGTCATGAACTCCTGATTGAGTAAATCAAGCAGCATTGTGTGCTAACACTGCCCACACCTGTGACCCGATGCCACTTCTTGGTCCCTGTCTTCCGTGGGAAAAGTGTAGGGAGATGTGCCCTCAAATCCTGTCGGCCCTACAAAGTGTTACACACAGTGACCGAACATTTCCACAAAGATTGAGTTGCAAGATTACTTTTTTTGGCAGCTGGCTGGCACAGGGATCTGAACCCTTGACCTTGGTGTTATTGGCACCATGCTCTAACCAACTGAACTAACCAGCCAGCTCCTAAGATTGTTTACCACAGTGGTGTTTGTGGTAGTGAAACAATTCGAATTAACCAAAACATTTAACATCGAGGAATTTGCTAAATAGATTATGATACATTGGTACAATGAAATGTTATTTACTTACTAAAGGCTATTATAAAATTATATTTAGGGCCGGCCCAGTGGCGCACTGCTACAGTGCGCCGCTTGGGAGCGCGGCGGCGCTCCCGCCGAGGGTTCGGATCCCACGTACAGACCGGCCGCTCACTGGCTGAGCGAGGTGCAGGCGTGACACCGAGGGTTGCGATTCTGTTGCCGGTCCCGGTCCGGTACGGGTGTGACACTGAGGGTTGCGATCTGTTGCCGGTCACGAAAAAAGACAAAAAGGAAAAAAAAAAAATTATATTTACATGTTGGTGTGAATGAGGTTCTTGAGGAAAATGAGCAGGCTGCAAAACAGTGTGTGTCCTGTGATCTATTTTTTTAGAGGGTTTGTATGCTTGTAAATATTATGCTGTGCCAGGCAATGTGTGCCTTAGGAGGTATTTATCATCATCCCCATTTTTGAGACTAAGGGTGTCAGTATTACTAGTCATTTTTGTTTTCTTCCTTTTACATTTCTATATTTTGTGATGAGTAGGTATTGTGTGCTCAATGAAAGACCCTAATAAAATCTATTTTAAAAAAGGTCAGGGCTGGAGTTCTACTTGTCCAGCAACAACTCCTGGGTAGGCTGGCAAGAGAAACCAGGTGCTGAAGCCACCCCTGTCCCTGTCCCACCAGCCTTGTGCTTGTCCCTCTTCATAAAGCTCACTGTGCTCCCCTGACCCTCCTTCATATTCAGGACAGTTGGGAAGAAATGTGGACAGCAAGTAGGCCAGTTAGTGCCACAACTAGGGGTCATTGTCCAGCAGCAGTTGGGAGTTCCCTCTGTCACTGTAGCCTGGGGCCAGTAGTCATTGTGGCTTAACCCCCTCTGTTTTGCCTCCACAGGCCATTGAGAAACTGGTCTCTCTTCTCAACACGTTGGACAGGTGGATTGATGAGACCCCTCCGGTGGACCAGCCCTCTCGATTTGGGAACAAGGCCTATAGGACTTGGTATGCCAAACTTGATGAGGTGAGGCTGCCACGGGACAGGCTTAGGGGCTGGGCTATGGGGAGGGGATTCTGGCACCGGATGGATGGGGAAGGGCCTGTATTGCTTATGGCTGGTGTTTCAAGCTCTTAGAGATATCAAAATCACAGGGAGTTTGTTAAAATGACATTTCCACTTAACCACAATCACAAATGTGTTTATCCTCTGTCCCAGCCATCTTCTGGGAACTACTGCTGTGGATATACAGTCCTTTGTGCAAGACTGTTTATTAAGTCATTATTTGTATTAGGAATAGATTGGAAACGTCACAAGTATCTGTCTGTAGGGGATCAGTTAAATAAACTAGTAAATCCACACCACTGAGTTCTGTGCAGCTATAAAAATAATAAGAAAGCTGTTGAGGGAACTCAGTGAAAGGGACTCCATGGCTCGTTTTTAGATGAAAAGAGTCAAGTGTAATGATGTACATGGTAAGCTATCTACTGGTAAGAAAGAGGGAAAGATAAAAATACGTGTTGATGTTGCTCATATTTGCATAAAGAAATATTTCTGGAAAGATAAACGAGAGGCTACTAAAGCTATGGTTTCTTTTTGAGGGAAAGGGAGATTGGGGTGGAATGAGACTTCTTAGTACATTCCTTCTATAATATTTTTATTTATTTATTTATTTTTATTCATTTTTTTTTTTAAAAGATGACCGGTAAGGGGATCTTAACCCTTGACTTGGTGTTGTCATCACCACGCTCACCCAGTGAGCCACTGGCCATCCCTATATAGGATCCGAACCCGTGGCCTTGGTGTTATCAGCATCGCACTCTCCCGAGTGAGCCATGGGCCGGCCCATATTTTTATTTTTGAATCATGTGAAGGAATTACCTGTTCAAAGCAAACGAAAAATGAAAATGCAGGATCTGAAGCCCCTTCCTTAGAAAAGCAGAGTCTATAGGTCTGGGTAGGGCCTGAGAATCCAGATTTTCATCAGCTCTCCAGGGGATTCTCCTACCAGTTGTCCACCACTGAACTTAGAGATACTAGGTTCTAATTTCTCTGGCCTATGTTTTCACATGGAGCAGTGGGGAATACCAAGGACCTAGCAAAACACTCTCCTAAGAGTGCTCTGGGGCTGCCTCTGCACTCTAGGATGGTTCATGGTCTTGTTTTTTATAAAGATTTTTATTAAGTTATAACTTAATAGAAAGCTGACAAATCATAGCTGTATATAGCTCAATGGGTCTTTACATGTTTTTACCTATACACCTACCACCTTTTAGTTGATATCCCCCAGACTTTTCTGATTTCTGTTCCATGAATTGATTTTTTTGCCAGTTTTTGAACTTTGTATAAATATCTGCCTTCTTTTGCTCAATGTTATGTCCATGAGGTTCATCATGTTGTTGAGTGTAGCTGTAGCTTTTTCTTTGCTGTGTATGACCAGACCACAGTTTATTCATTCCATTGTTGATGGACATTTCAGTTGTGTTTCCACATTTTAGCTACTATAATGCTGCTCTGAACATTCTTGTGTATGTCTTTTGGTGGCCATATGGCACAGTCTCTTGCCCTAGGAGTGTAAAGGAGATGCCACCTATGGAGATAATAGTACTGGCCTCCCAGAGTCTGCATGGGCCTCCAGTGACTTACCAGATGGGGGAGTTGAATAGCTTCTTTTCAGATTCCTCCTATCTTGCCCCTAGACCCCTGTGCCTTGCAGGAAGGGTCAGTGGATGATAAGCCACCCCAGGGTAGTCTTTTTGTTGTGTAAGAATAAATGCTCTCCCTCTTCTTTTTTCTGTGGCAGTCAGAACAGGGAGCCAGATCAGCCTGGTGTGGCAGCCTGGGCCCCCAGCCAGGTGCTGCTCCTGGGCGCCTGCCCACTGGGATGCTGCCTAATCTGCTGCCACCACTTTGTGTCTCTTGTGTTATCAGGAAGCAGAAAACTTGGTGGCCACAGTGGTCCCCACCCATCTGGCAGCTGCTGTGCCTGAGGTGGCTGTTTACCTAAAGGAGTCCGTGGGGAACTCCACGCGAATTGACTATGGCACAGGTATCTGCCACTTGCGGGGCTCTGCACTTATTTGGCTTCACTACTTTCTTTCCTTGGGCTGCTTCCTCTTTGCTCTGGATGGTCTTGGGGCCCTCTGAGCAAGCAGAAGTTAGCCAAGCCCTGATGCCTGTTGGGGCTAGTTGGGGTGCTGTGGGTGGTTGCAGAAGGGTGGAGGGTGGGGGACAGTGTGGGAGGCCTAATGCTGTGGCTCTAGCTTGGTCCACCAGGGGGAGCTGATGCCATAGGCATGGAGCTTGTTTATGCAGAGCTGATTTCTGTTTTTTGTAAAGATAGTCTCTGTAAGCTCCTCGTTGTCATGAAAATAATAATTTATTGAGCACTTACTGTATCTCAAGGCAACTGCTTACAGAAGCTTTGAGAAGTGAAATGCTTTGGTAACCTCTGGCAGCATCATGGCATACTCTCTTCCTGACACTCCTTGTCTCTGTGCTATCGAGCTCTTTGGATCTGTCATCCATATCTGCCAAGCTAACTTGGACTTCGAGGAGAGGGAGTGTGTGAGCACCTTGAAAAAGTCAGGGTGGCTTGCGTAGCCAAGGAGGATCCCTGCTTGGGAAAAGCCCACCTTTGCTTTCTGCCTTGAAGCAGTCAAATGGGAGAGCTACTGTTTGCTCCAACCCCACCCCCCCAACACACACCACCCCATCAGGGCCATCAGGGGAACATGGTCCACAAGAGGGAGCCCAGGCCACAGAGGCAGGCCCTGAAGAAGGGCCCTCTTGGGCATGGGTCCTGGGAAAGCTTTGTCCTCTGCTCCTCTCTCCTGCTAGGGAACAGGTTTATCATGTGTTTTCAGATCTTAAGGGGTGGCGCTTTGACTAAGACCAATAGGGTAAAGATCCCAGGGGGAAGACTGGCCAGATCAGCAGGGGTGGTGCTCCTGGGTACACAAAAGCCCCTGAGTGATGTTTGCTTGGAGTCTGGCTGGTCATCTTTAGAAACTGTTGGCGGTGACAGTGACTGAGCTCACAAGCTTTCCAGGCCCTGGAGGGACCTTCATTCTGCAGAAATAGGACAGAAGTCACTGAAATATTCTCTCCTTACCTCTCTCCAAATTTATTTTTTACAACACTCTAAACCATGGATTTCACTTCAAAGTCCAATCAGTATTTTCTGTAGTATTGACCATTCCTAGTTGACATGCCTGGGAAAGGAAGGAGGGAGGGTGCCTTTTTTTTTTTTTTTTTTTTTTTTTTTGTCTTTTTTCGTGACCGGCAACGGATCGCAACCCTCAGTGTCGCGCCCATACCGGACCGGGACCGGCAACGGGATCGCAACCCTCGGCGTTGCTCCCGCCCCTCGCTCAGCCAGTGAGCGGCCGGTCTGCATGTGGGATCCGAACCATCGGCGGGAGCGCCGCCGCGCTTCCCAAGCGGCACACTGTAGCAGTGCGCCACTGGGCCGGCCCGAGGGTGCCTTTTGACTCTGTAATTTGACTATGTGTTCCCTGCTTAGAAGGCTGCAGTAGTTCTCCATTACTCTTAGGATAAAGTCTGAGTTCTTCACTGTGGCCATTAAGGCCTATCCCACCTGTAGCCTCATCTTATGCTTTCTCCCTTGCTCTATCTAGTTTATTTATTTATTTATTTGTTTTGGGGGGTGGCTGGCAAGCACAGGGATCCGAACCCTTGACTTTGGTGTTATAAGGCCGTACTCTAACCAATGGAGCTAACTGGCCAGCCCTTTGTGCTTTAAACATACTGGCCTTATTCACACCAATTACGCTTTTTCTTTCCTCAGGGCCTTCGCGCATGCTGTTTGTTGTGGCTAGAATAAATTTCTTGCCTCCCTCATCCCCTTTTCCTTGCCAACTGCCATTCATCTTTCAGATTAAATGTTACTTTCTTAGGGGAAACCTTGAACCCTTATGTCTGAGTCCCCCTATAATATCCTATTATCACCCTTTCTCCTTTAGAGCTAGAATCATAGTAGTAATTGTATATTTAATGTCTGTCATATCTGATAGATCATAAACTCTCTGAGGGCAGGGATTTATTTGTTACTGTCTCCCTAGTGCCTGACATGGACAGTGACTCCCACATAGTAGGTGCTCAATAAATAGAGTGGAGTTGCTGAATGAGTTAAACCTACAAAATAAAATGTAAATACCTGTTTAAGAAGTCAACAGCCTGGGCCTTTGGGAAGTAGAATTATAGTAGTAGTTCTTGAAAGGGCCTAGGTCTCTCTGGATAGGGAAGAGCTCCTATTATCTCCCTGTTGACCTCCCTCCTCAAAGGGGCACTTATCAGTGATTTGGACTCGGGGAGACCAAAAACAACCCCAGTCCTTTTTCTGGAAGACTTCAACCTTGGCTGTTTTTTCTCCCCCAGGGCATGAGGCAGCCTTTGCTGCTTTCCTCTGCTGTCTCTGCAAGATTGGGGTGCTCCGGGTGGACGACCAAATAGCTATTGTCTTCAAGGTGTTCAATCGGTGAGGGAGAGGAAGGCAGGAGGGGCAACTGCCTGTGGGAGGGGATGTGAGAGGGTCTCTTTCCTCCTTGTTACTGTCACACTGGGGATGGGGTGCTGGAGGGTTCTCCTGTGTGGCCCACGATTCCCTATCCTAGCCTAATCAAGCTCTGGCTGTGGATGGGCTCCTTCCTCCAACAGGTTCAGATTCATCTCCAAGTAAAAACAAGTGAAGGAAATGTCACGTAATGACTGCTAATGCTTACACGGTGTTTACCATGTGGAGGCACCGTTTCACATGCTCTACATATGACTCATTTAATTCTCACAACCACTTCAGGAGGTAGCAACTGTTATTTCCATTTTATAGATGAGGAAACTGAGGCTTGAGAAATCAAGTCTTTTTACTGTGATCACGTAGGCAGTCAGTCCGCAACCCCTCACCACCCAAACCACCTCCTGGGCAGCACAGGTGTGTATTGGAGTCACCTGGAGAGCTCTTAGAATACCCATTTCCAGGTCCCACTCTGGTGATTCCAATGCAACAGGCCTGTGGCAGAGCCTGGGAATGTTGTGTTGAAAGCTCCACAGGTGACTTGGATGCACAGCCTCTGATAAAATCGAAGGCTGGGACAGAAAGGGCCTAGGAGATAACCTACTTGGACTCCCACCAACTTTCAGATGTGCAAACTGTGGTTAGAGAAGTTGAGGCTCCTGCCCGAGGTCTTACAGGTTGTCGGGAGCTGATGGCACTAAAACCCAGTTGGTGTTTTGTTCCTTTCTTGGGCCAAAAGAAGGCTGAGTGTTGGGGGGAAAATAAAGCTACATTATTTCGAGAGTACCAGCTGATGCATAACTTACGCATGTACATTTTAATTGAAATAGAGATCAGTTCCACTCTTAAGTTGTTATTTCTGGCCTCCTTGTGCTCCCAGTGGCAGAAGGGTTGAAACTACCTTTTTACTTTTTGCTACCTTCCCTTTCTTCTCCCACCGTCCTGTGCAGGTACCTCGAGGTTATGCGAAAACTCCAGAAAACATACAGGATGGAGCCAGCGGGCAGCCAGGGTGTGTGGGGCCTGGATGATTTCCAGTTTCTGCCCTTCATCTGGGGCAGTTCACAGCTGATAGGTACTGAAGCCCCACCAAGGGTGTATTCTGTGTCCCTCCCCCTACCCCTCCTCCCTCCTGCCCAGAGCAGACAGTGACAGCTTGTAAAGCAGGGCATTAGACTGGCTATTGACGGAAGCTGTTTGCTGTCGACCTTCTGCTGTGAGCCAGTGTGGCGGCTGGCAGAGGCGGAGGCAGAGTGCCGCCAAGATAATGGAAAGTGACATGGGCTGGGGCAAGGGTGCTCGCCTGGTACATAATGGACTGGTGTGAAATGCGCCCCAGCTCCTGGCAGCAGCTGTGGGGTTTTATGTTGAAAATGAGGGGCTCTTTTCATTCTGTGGCCAGCATCATCCACTGTTATTATTGAGCTGTGTGCGAGGGGGCCCATCAGGGAGCTGCTGCCAAGTGCTGGGTGGTGGGCTTGCTTCCTGTGGGGCTCACAGATGGTCCTGCTCTAGTGACTCCCCCTACTTTGAAAGTGTTTTCCAGGCTTGGTCAAGGTGTTCTTGCTCATTGGGGTCTACCAGTGGGTGGTGGTGGTGGTGGTAGTGGGGTGATCATCTCCATTTTGATGTAGAATGAACTGTCTACAAAATAGTATTCATAAATGGCCATTTGTTGAGGACTCGCTGTGCGCCAGGCACTGCTCTAAATACCTCAGGTAGATTCCCTCCCTGAGTCTTCTCGGTGACCCTGTGAAGGGTCTTGGCCAGCATAAGGGCCCCCACCACCAACTAACTCCTGTGCCAGGCACCATGCTGAGTGCTGTGCTTATGGTGAGTATTGTCATGTGGTCCTCAACAGCCCTGGGGAGGTGTGTTTCTTATCCCCACTGCCCAGGTGAGGAAACCGAGCCTTGGAGGGCAGAAGTCATTCATCCAAGATCACTTAGCTAGAGAGAGGCAGAGCCTGAGATTAGTGCATTAGGATACATACATACACAAGGCCATTTATTGCTCCTGCAGGGTCATGTGTTGAGGGCGCCACGGGCAGGACTGTGGTCCTTGGGTTCCCAGGTGGAGCCACGGGCCTGGTTCTGAACCAGGGCTCTTTGCTCTTCCCAGACCACCCATACCTGGAGCCCAGGCACTTTGTGGATGAGAAGGCCGTGAATGAGAACCACAAGGACTACATGTTCCTGGAGTGCATCCTGTTCATCACTGAGGTAAGGGGCAGGGGTCAGGGAGAAGTCCGTGGCTGCCTCGGGGCTCAGATGAATGGAAGCTAGTGGCTTAAGAGTGGGATAGAGGGGCCGGCCCGGTGGATAGTGCGCCGCTTGGGAAGCGCGGCAGCGCTCCCGCCCGAGGGTTCGGATCCCACATACAGACCGGTTCCCGCTCGCTGGCTGAGCGAGGCGCGGGAGCAACACCGAGGCTTGCAATCCCGTTGCCGGTCCCCGGTCCGGTACGGGGGCAACACTGAGGGTTGCGATCCGTTGCTGGACACGGAAAAAAGACAAAAGACAAAAAAAAAAAAAAAAAAAAAAAAGGGGGG